GCTACGCAGTAGTTAAGAAGATTGGTGATAATAAAAATGTATTTGCTGGTGAAGGCTAATATAATTTGAAATGCAGCTTTTTGTATTGATCCCACGGGCAAACACATCGTGTGTAACGAAGCATATTGCAAAGGCAGCCTGGCTAGCAGTGACCTGAGCTTCTACCTGTACCTCCTGTAGTAGAACATTACACAAACATGGATTTCAAAAACTACAGCCAGAGCAATGCAGTATTTTCTGTCTGATACCAGTTTCCACACTGATCACACAGAGCTGCCAGTAGCTTGGACAGTGCTGTACCAATGCAGCTATAGTACTTTTACTGAATTGATTGTCTAGTTGTTGTTTTGTTAGGGTGTCTGCCTGGTGTTCCATTGTGTTAACATGTTTTTCAACTTTTGATGTTTCCTTCAATATACAGGCCTCTGCATGGTGCTGAAATGCTGCATCTTTAGAAATTCTTGGCCCCATCTGCTGTTGCGCAATTATGAGAGTTAAGCAGAACTAGAACTACAAGAACTGAAGACTAAATTTCTTACAGGCTATTAAACTTCGGTTTTAGCCAGTCTCCTTCTGTGACTACCAGATGATGACATCAGAAAAAAGAAAATCACTACTCAGCTCCCTCCCTTGGAAAGACAAGTAGTCTCTCCAAACACGTCCATGCCCTTCTCAAAAAGTCATCAAATACTAGGGGGAACTTAAAAGAATTTAGCTTCTCTTCAGCTTTTTTAAACTATCATTATTGTAGTTTCCCCATTTGCGAAATACGCCTGTGTTAAAGATCTCAGTGATGAAGCATTTTACTCAGTCTTTCCCGATGGAAGGATTTTTTGCTCCTGAGAATTTATTTGCCATGGAATAGGTCTTGGCTAAGAGCTATGGGCAGAAATAAGAGTGTTTGGAGGCTGAATGTACACGGTAAGCAGTTCTCCATGTGCAATCACTGAAAGGATTTTTTGGGGCACTTTTCTCCAAAGTCAGGGTACCAACCCAAACAGATTTCAATATGAATTCTGATTTCAGGTTACAGCTACCTTGAAAATTTCTCTCGAAGTTGCAGCTGAATGCAGTTTTCCTTTCTTGTGCTAGGATGCCATATTCCACTTTCATCTACAGCCATGTTGCCATAGTGAAGTCACTCCTGCATGTGTATATTTTTATATATAATTTGCAGAGTACTTCAGATTCCTTTGACAAAGTAGGCATCTGTTTTCCAGGTCATTTTCTTGTCTTAGATACAATCTGTAAAACAAATGGAGAACATGCCACCAGCAAGACAATCAGTATTTCCACAACACTGTTACTAAATCCTATGTACACATATTGCATGTTATACATGTGAGTACTCTCTCAGCACATGCCTGTTTACAGGATCAAGCACCTACATAACACTTCTTTCACGTTGTGATTATATTGCAACATAATTCTCTGTGTTTTTCCCAGCAAGAAAGGAAACTAAATCACAGCTGGCTTTGGCTGAAAGTAAGAACAGTGCATGTCTTATCCTTCACAGTGTAACTTACTTCTTTAAATAAGCTACAGCATTAGTCATTTATTTATTTTTATATTAATACAAATTTCCACTTAGCCTGTCACCATGACCAAATATTTTTGATTTTAATCTATGAATAAATAAAAAAGTCAAATTGGATAGGCAATTCTCTGAAGACGCACCTACACATCCACCGTTTAAAAGTATTAGCCACAGTCCTCTTCAAAATAGGAATAATTCAAAAATTGACAAGCAACAAAGCACAGGTACTCTCGAAGTGCCCTTTCCAAAAAGAAAGCTTGGCAATCCACAAAGCATGAAAAGGAGGCCAAGCGCTGCAAGCGACAGAAGACTGTTTACCAGTACAGGTCCATCCTCCTTTTCCTGTTCCAGGGGTTTTCGTTACTAGAGAACGATAATCTTAGCTGAATATTTGCAGAAAGAGGAGGGCTCTAGACGGGAGTCCATGAAATTGCTGTTTAACATTAGAATGCGATGATCAACGCTGGAGATGAAGATAGCATACATATCAACTTACAGGCACTATTCAGATGCTGTTTGTTTGAAGGGGAACCTATTGAAAGTGCACCTCTTATTGTAAGAGATTCAAATGCATTCCAGAACTTAGAGAAAATTAATGCTGCCCAGATAGCCAGCTTTTGATGCTGTAGCAGAGAAAAATCGATGGAACTTGGATAAAATCCAAGGCGTAATCTATATACAATGCAATACAGCAGATTTTATAATAAATAGGAGGAAACATGATTTTAATCTAGACTAGCACTTCTTAAATGTAGTTTTCATTTTTGCAATGATAAAATTCTTTTACATCTAGGCTGATGACAGTCAAATTGTTCACATGGACCAGATTCATGTTACAGTGCTGAATTTTGCCAGTCCTGTGAAATAAGGTCAGTAGCCCCTTATATCACAAGTAAATCATTTATTTCTTAAAATGAGTCATGCATTATCTGCCCTAGAAGACATCATTAGCTTTGCTCTTCAAAGATATTTTCCTGCTGCAAGTTCTTCATGAGCAATAAGGTGGTTTACAAATTCAGCATCATAAACCAGCAAAGCACAGGGGCAAGAGTGAAACTCCCGAGACTGCCTTCTGAGGTACTGAGTAATCCTGATGCTGGCTGCAGCATAAGGACACAAAGAGAAGCAGACACAGAGCACTCTCTTTCCATCTGCACCACTTGCTATAGTAGTTCAGAGGGAGAAGCATGGTAATAAAATGTCTTTTTGCAAGTACTCAAGGCAAAAATCCTACCACTTTCAGAAACACATGGGCACAGGAGCAGAGAAAACAAATGAAAAATATTAGCTAGTAACAAGATCTGCCAGTTCTACAGATGTACTATAACGATCAAATCTGTAGAGGCTACTGACAGCATGACTGGAAGTCTGCAGAGGCACTTACACATACAGGTTGCACATCTTCAGTCATCACAGGATAAAATTAAATCTAAGGAATTTACAATTTCTGAGCACACTTGTATCAAGCACAACCTTTTTCTTTCTAAGAGTAGGTTCATTATTGTAACTATTTTCCATATCTATAAGTGCACTTACTTCACCCATAAATAGTTTAGAAAAGATGGACAGAATGTTTTTGAGTATAAGAATGTTTTCTCTTCCTGTGCTAGTTTAATGGGATAGATGCCAATGTTTTTATGAATTATGAATGCAGCAGTCTTTCCAAATGAAGATGTTGGAAGTCTGCCACTGGAATGAGGTGCTCATATTACAGACTGCCAGCAAATTTCTGTTTCTTTAATGAAATCTAGATTACTAAATCCTTTTTCTTTTGAAAGAAAAAAAAAGTATGATAAAAATTACTCTCTCCTATAGTAGTGTTGCGTTGCACATTCTCCTCTAGAATAAAAGTTAAAAAAAAATCAGGATATAAAGCAATTTCAACCGCAGTTCTACTACTAGGGAAATTCATATGCTGTGTCCTTGATGTAAATAGCTGTATGCATACCACCTTCCTGCAGCTCTGGCTTTAGGAAGGACTTAGATTCCTCCTTCAATAAAACATAATCAGGGTTTATGACTGATCATGGATACATTACTAGTTGCATGCACGGTTTTTCCCATAATGATTCTCTTTTCAGCTGCCTGAAACAATGTACAATTTTAAATAATTTAATCAACATTTTTATGGAAATCTTGCTTGGGGAAGCATTTCTCCCTGCTTCAGAGCAGAATTTTGCAGGTGAATAGGATTCAACAAATTTGTATTTCATAAAGAATAATTCTTCTAACTTGTATAAGCATTAAGTATGATTTTTTTTCTACTGAGTGACCCAAAGTCTCAAGAACACTTTTAGAAGAAGAAGGAAAAATAGTAGCAGTCTATGACCTTTGTCAAAACTGAATCACACATTTCAAAAATTTGGAGGTCCCATATCCAACATGAAAATAGGTTCAAAAGAAAGCTAGTGAGGCTGCTCTTTTTCTCCAGCACAGGTTATCGCAGCAGATGTTATCACATAACTGCTCTTTGCCTATGTATCAACAAACTGTAAGATTACTAACAAATCCAAACCAGATATGGAAAACTTGTTCCATTTAATCATATGTACATATTACAAAATGCTATGTATGTCTTCACATTTTATGTTCAGAAACAGTTATCTTCTGCAAACATCTAAAAGAATTTTACAAGAGGATGCAAAATACTCTGTCCCACTTTAGTTTGATCAGCAATCATTTCTATGACTTACCGATCTGAACCACATCTGAGGTTCCACCCGGTATCTGAGATTCCACCTGGTGGTACTACAAGTTTCACAATAGCACGTCAGATAAAAATCTAAGTACGAGTTTTCTTGAGTAGCAGCTCTCTGTGCAATGACTCAGTATATAGTACTATGACTGTTCATTCACACGAATGGCTCATTTACAAGGATATCCTCTGGCTTCCAATTTGCATGCATATTTATTTTGCATTACCTTGGAGTTAAAAAAACAAAAAACCATAATAAATGGTAATCAGAAGGTAAATACACAGAATAATAAATATCACTGAGCCATATTAACTCTGAAAAAAAAACATTAAAAGGATAGAGAAAAGGAAAAAAATCTGACATGATAAAAAGCAGTAAAATTAGATTTAGAAAGATTGTGGCAGAAGCTCTGCGAGATTGTAAAGCACTGAAGTGGACATTTTAAAAAAGCCCCAAACACACAGTCACACTGTATGTATATATAACCAATGTACCTGATTATATTTTACAGATGAGGATGCCAAATCCAGTCAACTTTAGTGCGAGGTAGGCCTTTGTGCTCATGTAAATCAATGGTAACAACTCCCTATGATGCTAACGAGAGCAAAATTAGGCCACGTAAGTACATTCTGATTACTCTATAAGGCATAATATTATTGCATTCTATTCTCTAATCTGCATTTCTGTGAGCTGATAGTATGCTTGCATGGTAAGACCTAAAGCTAGTAAATGTGACAATTCAAATATTATTACAAACTAGAGAAAAGTCAGGTAAAACCAGAGATTTTTTTATTGCACAAAATAAATTATATAGAAACAATGCAACAAAACAACTTGTATTGTAGGCTGCACAACAGATGTTACCACATGAATATATTTATTGCTTTGAGAAAGGAGCAATTCAGTGCTAGTAAGCAGATTAGTTATACTTCTTGCTCATCTAGATTCATATGATTAATCCAACTGGGCTAGAGGCATCTTGCAGCATATGGATCATACCAAATGATAACTTCTTATCAACAGTTACAAAGGTGCTGTGAACATTCTTGACATTAGCATGAAACACTCAGTTTAACATCACTTGTACTGAACCATATAGATAGTTACGTAATTAGAAATATCATTACATATCAAATATATTTGGTACACAAGACCCTAAAAGGTCCATTTACTGGGTTCACATGAGCTCCTGTTCTAAAATAAATCCTGTTTGCAGATATAGATGCAACTTCAAACAGGCTCACTTCACTTCGCACCAAAATGCAGTACCAAGGGGTTTTTCTAAAATGAAAACTAATACTGGCACTTCACTGACTTAATTGCAGAATTGCTCACTAGTCCTAACTCAGTTATAGGTTTCTCATTCTTTCCAGGGCCACACTCAATTTTTAAGGATTTTAATACAGGTGAAAAAAATATTCCTTTGGCAGAACTGGGTGGAATTTAGAGTGCTGGTTTAAACTCTATGAAACACAACAAATAAAAAAAAAAAAAACAAGACTGCAACATATGTATGTTCTATTTTTAGCTCAAATGGATTTAAGATTTTAAATGCTACTTTGTGCACCCTGAGATGTTAAGCCCCCAATGAATTCATATATAAATTACTTTAAGAAAACATTGTAAAAAGGTACAATATTCAAATCATTAAACACATTAAAAATTGATCACTTAACGATCTTTGAAAAGCATGCGTATTAATGAGATAGTGGCATTACAAAGATTCATAGTCTGAGTGAAATTCTCCCACTATTTGACAGTTATGCAAGTATTTACTCCGTTGAGCTTATAACGCTGAACCTACTGCTAGTATAAACATTCAAAGGTTTCAAAACATATAAGGTTAATACAATAAGGTTAAATTTAAATAACATTAAGAGACTGGAAAAGTCACACATGATACGAAACTCATTGTGGAAGTGGTAATTCTGGCTTATTTCATGTCTTGGTTACAAGGATAATTAAGCAAAAAAACTTCACTGAGATCAATCTGAAGACATTAACTCAGCATTAAGTCCCTTCAACGAAACCCCATAGAATCCCACTGAAATAAAGAGTATTATATACGAGCAACTACAAACAAATTCAGCTATCACTCTTTGCTAGTACTTTGACAAAATTCTGTTTTACTGTTTTTTCAAAGGTATGTTAATTCATTGTGTTGAGTCAAAATACAGTAAGGATGATATTTCCAACAGCCTCAAAATATTCCAAGAAATGAGTCATTCTAAATTAAAGAAACACTTTGTACAAATGCTCATTTAACCAAAACTTTAGTAATGCAATCATATTCCATGCATGTGCTCAGCAGTAGGTTCCTCAGGAGGAAAATAAATATTAAACTTGACTAATCTAGTATAATTTTTTGTCTGGGGGAACCGGTTTTTAAATATTTGAAGTAAAATTTTGTCAACATTTTATAAAAATTTTATAGGTATAATGAAATGCAAATGAATAACTAAACATACCTTAAAACACACCTTAAAGTACAAATCTCACAACAAATTATTAGTATTTTTTATGGTAAATATTATGAAGTAGAAATGTTATAAGGCAGGATGAAGCTAATATCAAAGATGAAAAACAGCACCATCAACCTAAGTTTTGCAATACTGGACAGAAAATACAATAGCATAGTCAGATATACTTGATTAAGTTCAGGTAAGAAGTGCATTTAGCCCAGCTGTACTAACTATAGAGCTTCATACAGAATAAACATTCCATAAATCAACAGAAAATGCATTTGAGCACAAAAATAAAAATATGTGATTCTCCAAGCAGCATTTTGTTTTTTCAAAACATTAACATAGATAGATATTGGACTGATTACATATCTACAAGTGCTTTTCCTTTACAAAAATACATATATTCTTAATAGGATAGACTGTCATTAACAATGACCTGTGTTTTTTTTTTTCACTTCAATTTGAATGATTTATAAGCTAAATTTTACAACCACAAAAAGGTTTATTTGTAATATGATGTTATCACTTTTGACAAAAAGCTTAAAACATTTTATATTTTAAAACAAATTAGCAACATAACATCACAATATGTCCTAAGAGCTCCTAAGTACTGTGAGGGCTGTTACATTAAAAACTGATAGCTACTGATCAAACGCAAGGAAGCATTAGAACATTATTACTGCTCACCATGGGCTCCTTTCTTATCATAACTTGGATCACAGCTTATATAAGGACACTTAGGCCCCCATCCGAAAAAATCCACTTAGAGTAACTATATGTCATCCATTCAGTAGCCTGGAACATTTAACAATTCAGGCTTTGCAATAATTAAAAAAAAAAAACAAAAAACCGTAAAATATTTTCCTTTATAACAGTTAAGCCTGCAATATGGGGAAAAATGACGCATTGCTTAATGTTTATTCTAAGAAGCTTATATTTGAGAAAAAAATTAAGATCAATAATTTTTTAGAATGAAATATTTCAGAGCCAGCTAAATAATTAAACTGGTCTATTAATTTCCAGTTTAGTTAATCACTACACTGGAAAGGAAAATCAAGATATTTACTGGATTTCATTATTCTTTATACTGCACAACAAGTAGAATAATTGACTTTTTGCTAACCTCTGTCTAACATCTTGGACAGCAATGCCATTTGCTAAAAAAATATCTATAAAAATCTGTAAAACATACTTATTATCTTCTCATAATCCTCCAAATCTGTCCTTTCCACCCTCCAAAACATCACTGAACTACAACTAGAAAACCCAAAAGTAGCTTGGTGAATATTTTGTGCTCTGGAAGGTTTACAGGACTGACAGCACACTGAAGTATTAAATTAGTTCACAGGCCAGGTATAGCAGACACATCAGTAATGCAAGCCTTTGTGCTTTTCTTTTTTAATGACGTTAGCTGTGATTCAAAGAGCTACTCTATACCTGTTACCTCAACCCTTACGCTAGTCCTGTTTGTTTGGTTTTTTTTTTTTTTTAAATCTATTTTGTTTCGGAAACTGCTAGGTGTGCCTAACCCTTTAGTTTGGTGACATACAGTTACTACCAGGAACTTTTGCTTGACTGATTCAGGTGTAACTGTTGACCACGGCACTCGAGAAAAGCGTCAGTGCCTTATTCCAAGGCAGTTTCTGGGTGGCTTACCTTTGGTATTAAATAAGTCCCTTAAAACTATTAGGCAATCAGATTATCCATAAAAATAGTTTATTTTTAGAAAAAAAACCTTTTTTTTTAATGAACAAACTAAATATCTGACAACAAAGAAAGAGTAATTGTAAGTCAGTTAGTATGTTATATTTTTCAGTAAAAGGGGAGCATGTTTCATTTTACCACATCAAAATTCATCAGACAACAGCAACAATGCCTACTTTACTCAATATGCTATAATACAAAACACAATTTTAGGAATAGAATACCATCATAAAATATGTGCCTCGCACTTTGATAATAAACATCTTTATTACAACTTCATGTGTAATACAAACCTCTGAATGCTAGCTAGCAGCACAAATGTCTTACTGTTGCAGCAATTTAGTATATTACATAGCAACCAAACTCTTAACTCTTACCTTGCCTTCCACTCATCTTTGTGAGGAAAAAGGAAATACACAATAACTACTTAAGCCCACCTCATCCTGTTATCTGTCACATATTGTTAAATCTTGTTAGAAGCGTTTGCTAAAAACACACATAAAAGTTACTTCAAACAAAAGCATGTTTAAAGATTCAGATCAACACGCAAATTCAAACTAATGCCTCTCTTTGGTTAAAATTACAAAAATTTCCACCTCTACACATCTTTCATTCCAGAATGTATCCTCCATCCCGAGTTCAAAGAACTTGGCCTCTTTCTTCAAATACAAGTAGTAGCCTGGACTTTTCCGCTAGTCTATAGAGCTCTTCCACTTCACACTTCAGAACTGCATGGATGTACTAAATTGCTTACTAGAGAAGGAAACAATGTCCTTGTTCAACTGTATCAGCAAGCTACCTGAATTCAGAAGAAGTCACTGTAAGATTTCTGGTGCATACCTTGCGAGAAAGCATCTCTCAGTTATAAATTCATTAATCTAGTTCCTGTTCTGGAATCTGACATTTTCTTCCTGATCTATAACACAGGCAGTGTATTGGTTAAAAAAAAAAAACAAAAACAAAAAAACAAAAAAAACCTACCCCCCTCCCCCCTCCCCAGATCTGATTATAAAGAAAAAATGATGATCTTATAATAGTAATATTTTGGAGGACGTTCCTACAAAAGGATGCGTCAGCTGAGGTCTGAAGGTCAAACCTTCCATACTTCATAAAGCTAGTGGTAAATGAGCAGTTGGAAGCTATTCACGTTTCCTTTAGGGTGAATCAGTCCCCTTGTGATCATCCTGGAACATGCTCCAGCAGACTGCAATCCCTCCTCAAACAAGTATCTTGAGCTGAACACCTTGTGGAAGCATTACTTTGTTCAAATTGGCTATAAAGGATTCAATATGCAGAACCATGAACACTTTGCTGAAATCCAGAGCAGCTTAGGTTAATCCCAAAAGAAAATATGAATTACTGGGGCATTAAGCATTAACTTTCTAACGTCTATTTATAGATATTATGGTCACTATGCCATCTTATGCTAAGACACGAACTAGAGATCCAACGCATCACCTCCTTGTTCTCACATCTAGGAAACTGATGCTCTGGTGTTTTTCTTGGAATTGCTTGAAGTGTGCCTCCTGTTCTAAAAGACCCTGTCCTAACAGACAGCATTTTGGTATCCTTTTTTTTTTTTTTTTTTTTCCTTTCTCCTTTCTTCTGTACATATTGTTAATAGCTTGTGGAATCTTCACCATGTTCAGTCTTATCTATGAAACTATTCCTACACTACAAGACTACAAGACTTATGGGTTGCTTAAGATTTAAGGGACACTCCACATGTTCTTCCATGGGACCTGATCTTACGTTTTTAAGGCTCTACCTAAGTGAATGACCCTTTGAGAGGGCAGGTAAGTGATCACATGAATCTTTTCTTTTATAACTATTCATTTTCTTGAACATGCTTAATTCTGATCTTCTTAAAAAAGCAAATATAAAGTTAGATCTGAATACTACTATTGTGAGAGACAAGTTCAGTTGTCCCTTTTTGTTCAGTTGTCCCTTTTTCTGGATTGCCTGACTAACCAAACCTATGATCTGCTTCCTCATGTGCAATTTCTCCTTTACAACTATTTGATGTTTCCTTTTGTTGGGCATGAAAAGGGGGTAGGGGAAGGGCACAAAGGATTTACAAGAACCTAGAATTACAGGACACAGGGAGCTTGAATAAATCTTTGAACTGATGTAAATAACAAAATAAGGTAGAACAAGGTAAAATTAGAGTGGAATATCCTGCCTGATAAATGCATTTTTTGATGGAATCAAACTGATGCCTTCAACCTAAGTTACATGAAGAAGTCAGACCAAGTTCTTCATCTAAGCACCTCTATAACGTTTATATATTTGCTGTGGGTAGGAACAAAAGTTTTAACCGCCTTTGGTGTTTTTCAGGATAAAAACGTGTTTGATCAGTCCATACAACTGGCCAGGATTTTTTCCAGCCCTTTTCTAAACATGGCTCAATTGATCATTTTGAGACTGAAGACTGGCTTTGAACAATTACATGTTTTCTAGAATTTCTGTGAGACTTAGCACTTGCCTGCACTGGATGATATTCCTTCTTTTGCAAACACCTCCCCTCACCCTGCACATATTTTTCTGGGGCTTGAATGCCTCTTGGTGTCTTCAGTGATATGGGAATGAAAAACAAATCTAACAACATAATTCAGTGGATTAAAGGACTAAACATGGCATAACTTGTTATTCTAGAAAACAGTGGAGAAAGAAAAACTGCTTACTTCTCTTGCAAAGTCAGGTCTAACAATTGTACATGGAAGAGATGAGATGAGGCGAGATGAAGAGAACTCTGGACCATCATTCTGTGCTGGAGAATGAGAGCCTAGCTTATGCCTATAAGGAACGTGATCAATCTTTTCTCCTACAGATACACTGGAACTGCTTCTGTAAACTGCAGAAGAGGAAAGTAGAGTCAAATTTTTAGAGCCCAGAGAGAAAAGATCAAGATCCAGCATTCGCAGTTAGTCATGAAGAAAAATATCATCTCAATATAAAACTCATTCTCATCATATAGTTTCCGCAGAGATATGTTCCTTCAATTTTATATAATCTGACCAAACACGTTTCTTTTTCCGTTTGTTTCATTTGAAAGATTGCTTCTAAATATAGAATGGTTACGAAATATTCTTGCGGAAAATATAAAGACCATTGATAAAATAAAGAAGCAAATATTACCTGCAAGATGCAAATAATAGGTTTAAAAGGTATTCTGTATTAACAATCAGGCACTTTGCTATATATATTTTCAGTAAAGCCAAAATAGTATTTTTCAGAAAAGAACTGGGACTTTTCTTTTGCATATGAACCACAAGCTAGCTGACTATGAACATTACAGTTACAGTGCTGCGTACTGCTAGGGCCCAAACCCCAGAAGCATTCACGTGAACAATCCCTAGTGTGGTGATGAGTCTCTCAGATGATTGTAGTAATCTTATTTGGTATTTCACTCAAAAATGAATATTTTAATAGGACTAAGCCCTTAGCCACGAGCACTGTAATAATATATGATGGGAGATACATTTCTTGATTATGTAATTCATTTCAGCTTTTATAAGGTCTCACTTATAAATTCTAGCTTACAGTTTGTTACTACAGAAACACAGCATACAGCTATGCCCAGCAAAGGGTTGCTTATGACTTTCATTAACACGTTACCCCAGAGTTAAAAGGAGATATGAATTATTGGCTTATAGGGGAAAAAAGAGCGCTAAATCTGCTGAGTAAGAAACTGCATGGTTAAGTAGTAGTACAGACCTTTTTAGGTGTTATGCCTCTGCAACTAGGTACTGCCAACTGGGAAAGCTGCAGAAAAACAGTTCTAGCAATACTTATTTTATGTTCCTATTCTTACTATGTAGTGGTGACACTTTGTCATGGAAATATTCAGAAAGTGTGACTGTATACACTAATCTCCTGCTCTATGAGGGCATATAGTGCAGTTTTAATGGAATGCTCAGGTACTCACTTCACTTTATCCCATCTTTGGCACACCAGAATCTGTCCTTGCATTCTCATATTCCTATGCTGTTCAGACATTTTTAATTGGCACAAACAAATCAACAGGGCTAATCAAATATGCGTAGCTGTAGACGCATGGCACGTACGTAATATATGGAAGAGAAATTTCCTGTAAAAAAGAAGTAATGCCTGTGTTATACAAGCTGCCCAGTTAAGATATGTATTTCATTGGCACTTCACCGCTATGAAAATCATTAAACTAGAATAGCACTCAGCCACTGTGCCATCAAACCAGATATGTATAAAGTGTAGGTGGCTAGATCATATGCATTTGAAAGCATTTAAGGCCATGATTCTCAGCCGGGAATATGAAACCATATCTGTCAGTATTTTCCATGCTTAAAATGAAGATCTGCCTTCTGAAATCTAGCTTTAAGTTGTATCAAGAAGAGACCAAGAGTTAAACTGTTACCAATTCTGATCAAAACAAATTAATGAACTGGAAAACCAGAAGGTCATTAAATATTCAAACCTTCTATTGGTTGTCATTCATAGTCAAATTTCGGTGGTCCTGTTAGGTGGATGCAAACTTTCATGTAAGATGACTGAAAATGGATTAAAAATAATACATGTTGTTCTTCCTTTCTTTTCTTAAAAGAAGACTGTTCAAATTTGCTGAAATAGTAAATGCCACTGTTGAGAAAAAAATTGTCCTCTGAAAGTAGAAATTACGCTTAAGAGTACTATCGTTAGTTTTGTGATAAACCGAAACAGACCTTTTATGTCAAGCGAAGCTACAGTGAAAATTCTCATATAAAAACACGTGAAATATATAAAAATTGTAAGGTGTCATTTGCATGTGCATGTAAATATTTACAAATAATATCCTATTTCTACTGTATAAAACAATTGTGTACAACAAAGATAATGATTTGCAATTAGAATGTACGCTCTGCTCTTACAAGCTGCTCCATGGGGAGGACCTCTTTGCTTGTAAAAAACCTGTTCTTCTTCAGAGACTATGCAGAGAAGGGCCCTCCCTTCATGAAGTTATCTTGTTTCTGTCCAGTAGCACATCACAGACTAGGTGGGCAAAAAGGTGACCACTTACTGCTGCCAGTAGGGGCACCCATTCCCACCAACAGTGTGGGCAGCTGAGCGCCTGCACCAGTCAGCACCTTATGCCTACAGTAAGGAACAGCAGCTTCCTAAATGTTTTGCTTCCCCAGGTTCACTGGTGTCTGCACAATATGTGCAACCTCGACCTGCAATGGCAGGTTTCCTAAACAGACTGCTACTGACAGCATCTTTATTTCCGCATGTCATATGGGCCTTGGAGTGCGGTGGTAGGATTTAACCCAACTACACATGGATTCCTGAAGTCATCAATGTTACAACTCCTCCTGACATTAAAGGGGCCAGATTTTATCCACAACACGCTTGTTTCTCCTACCGAAACATACTAATGTACATGAGCACAAACTTAGAAAGGAGCTACAGCCTTGCATCTATCTTTTATACTTTGATCCCAGGTTTTAAAGTTAGAATTTTCATTTCGTCTTATCTAAAGATGATTAGTTCTCTCTAGAATAGCTTCTGAAAAGCCGATTTGGTTCCTTTTTGTTGTATGCAAAAGGCATAAGGAAGTAAATAGTTATCTACAATATTAGGAGGTGTGAATTAAGTAGAAATTACAAAAAAGTACTGAACTATAATTATCTCCACAGAATTTAAAGTTAAAAACTCATTTGACTTTTAAACAGAGCAAAGACAACGGAAGACTACAGAAAACGTACGTATTACTATGCTCCCTGCAACGTTACCAGAAACCTCAATAAACATTCTACACTAGAACCATTATGTTTGCAACACCTAAGGCAACAATCACTTGTTTATTCAGCACTACCAGGTCTTAGGAAAAAAAAATGACCTGAACAATTATTTTGGTCAGTATTGCATTCATTACCTCTAATTTTATGGTACTGGTTTTATGATGTGACTTTAACTAATGAAAAACTCTACAATTAACTCCAAACTGCAGAAAGTCACAAGAGATCTATAATGTAATTAAAGCTACAGATTTTGAAATATGTTTGTTTTTTCTTAACATATTATTTACCTCTACCCATTTCCATTAAAAGGAAATGCTTATTATGAAAAGCAATAATTACATATAAATTCTGCCCTAGTTGTGATTTTATAGTGAATTTCTTTGTTTTATAGCCATTTAAATAATTTTTAACTTCATTTTTACAAAGGCTTTATTAGAAGAAATTAATCTGACCAGAAGCCATATCCCAAATTTAGCTATATCTCAAATTCCAGTCTTTATGGAAATCATAGAAAAGTGCAATCACAAAGGCTGTGATGCTTTTAAGTGATTGGCAGAATCTATTTAGAGAACTTAAAATTACTTTTTGGAATTACCATGTTATACACTTCTTGTTAAGGGTGATCTTCATTCACTGCAAAAGGACTGTTGCACACTCACGAGTGAGCTATACCTGGACCCATGAGAAGCTTATCAAGAAAAAGATAGTGGCCCAATCACCACGTTTCTAAATATATTTTCTATACAAAATATTTTCAAGGTATAATCCTTAGCTATTTGTACAGTACTCTATGATTTAAACAACAAATATTCAATAAAATAGTATGTGAAAATTGCAACACCACATGGAATGAGCACTCTGCCATTTTGCTAGTGTAATCAATATTAGGACCAGAAAATTTTTCTAACACGCAGGCAAAAATATTCCATAGGTTCTGAATCTTGACTGTAGACTTCATGATTTTGGCTATGACTTGCAGCACACTTGTAAGATACACAAATATCTTATGCACACTTCAGTAGCAGAATGGCACTTGGCTTGCTCTAATAGAAACAACAAAGATGCAACTGACAGTTTTAAGAAAGACAATGTCCTTATTTGCATGCTGAAAATCTGGTTGTGTCTCCCTAATCCAGGCACATCCATCCATTGTGCAATCTGTCGATGGGTAAACAAATAGTGCAGGATTCATCTCAGTGGGATCTGGCCCTTTGGTCTAACCGAAGTCAATTCTAGGTCGATACTGAAGTACCATAGGGTAAGACTGAAAATAAAAGCAAAAAAAAAAACAAAAAAACAAAAAAACCCAACAACAACAAAAACAGAGATAACATGAAGATGTAATTCATAAAAAAAGAAAATGCAATTAAATATTGTCTTAAGAATATCTAGAACTTATCTCTATGACACATGTATATGGCAGTTTTATTTATATGACTGAAATAATTCTATGTGTTTCAACAATTAAATATCTGTATTTCAAATCTATTTTTACGTAACTCAGCTGTAATTTTTTGTTACAAATACCAAATTCCCATATCTGACTTATGTAGTTCATGACTTTGAGTGCTCAAAAAACTCCTTTTATTTCTGTGTTGCTGTATCTGAGAAAGAGCAATTTTGAAATATTTACACTTTGGAAAACAAAATCCATTCCTAAACGATGTACTTGGTTTGATTTAAATGTATGGGATTCTGTAGCTACGCTAGTACTCAACAGTAGTTAATGGGAGCTAGGTTACTCTTGTACTGGAAAAAAAAAAAATCAGGTTAGATTGCTATCAATAAATTTTCTGAGACATGAAGGTTAACTTTCCCAGAAAATGCGATACATTTTAGTAACTCCTATTGGGGAAAATGGCATTTATTGGGAAAAACAGCAAATGACAAATCAAATCAATGGCAAATTATTGGGGAAAAAATGGCAGATCCCTGAACTGGACAAAATTGTGGCGTGGAATGGGAATTGAGCATGGGTTTCCAGAAAGGGAGATGGAATGTACGGGCACTTGTTGCTGGAAGTTCTGTTTTACTAAACGTGTTATTTTTTCAGTCTGTCATAGCTGCATATAAGTATGTTTTTTTCCTCTTCACTTCACTAGGACATTGAACATTTGCTATGGCATAAAAGCCAGGAAAATCTTATTGTCTCAGCAACTGCACAGGTTTAAGTGGCCTCTCTGCCACAGGGCCATGAGAAAATCATAGCTAATTCAAGTCCTTTTTATTGTAAATTTGGAAATATCAAGAATTACTGCAGAAGTTAAAATTAAAAACAAATATTTTACTCCATCCTTCAAATGCAATACAGACGAACTTCTGTGACGCCCAAAACGTGCAGATACATACACAGGTTAATGATCTTTTCATGCTGTCATAAGCAAATGACCACCAGAATTAAATGTGATCACATTTGCTGAAGATTTAAAAAGTGGAGTGCAGAGAAATTAAAATAAAAGCCAGAGGTATTCAAAAATAGCAGGAGCACTTAGGAGAGAAGACAGAGAGCACCATGGGCAGTCTGCAAATGTAATTAATAACCATATACTTGTAGTATAATAAATTATTTAGTTCTGATTTTTCATATAGAATATGACTACCATATTATGATTTAAAAGCTATTTCAGTTGCTGCTCATACTTCAAAACTAATACTTTGATTATACAAATTGCCTCCAAATGTACTCAACCCTAACTAGAATTGCACATAAACAGAGACCGAGCAATCACCTCCTTAAAATTTAACATGCAAACCAACACGGTTCAGTGTTTTTTTGCAAACCAAGTCTGAAGACTACTCAAAAAAATTACAAATTAACTGCAGAAATAAAATGCAAGAATCTAGAATAATTATTATTAATTATTATTTAATTAATAATTAATTAAATAGGCATGACTGCAAAGTATAACCCATTGTGCAAGTGACTACCACTAATTGCAATTTTTTACTCAATCAAGAATACTATTTCAGATTTTTTAAATGACCTTTAAAAGAAATTAGTTCAAATCAAAATTCTCTATGAGCAGACTGAAACATTATTTCAAGTTGGTTGAAAAAGAACCCCAGTCCAGTGAAATTTAGAAATCAGTTTCAGCTTGCAGGTTCTGGAAGTTCTAGTTTGCTACACTCTATAGATAAGTCATTACTCCATTTCTAATTTTAAAAGAAGTGAAATGAATATAATGTTAGAGAAAACCTAAGATTTCTTTACTCCATTAAAAAGAACATTGGAATTGCCATAAAGAAATGAAACCGAAGTAGTCTCTCTGATTCACACTCATCAGTTTTGATCTCTTGCCAGTAACTGCCCGACATTACCAGTTATAGAGATGAGATTAGAAGGGTTAGATAATTCTTACACGTTCATGCAGAAACCAGCCTAGACAATAAAACAAGAAGATAAATGGCCTGAAGTAAAGAAACCCATAAACCTGATAATTTGAGTGGATTCTATTTATTCATCCAATAAAGCTTTCTCCGAATGAATGAAAATGCGCAGACCTCCCTCATAACGTTTTAGCACTCCACAAGTTGTATTGCAACTGAAGTGCTAATAGGACCCTAATGACTGTAATATGTACAGTCGTGAGTGCCTCTTACCTGATAAAAAGTGCCATCCTGCGAGCAGACTTGCGAAGATGAGCAGTTCTGACACCGAAACTGCGAAGGAGATGATTTTCTGATCAGATAAGAGGCAACCACAGCTGGACACATACATTTATCATTTAATTGTTTTTAATTTTCCAATGCAAAGTTTAAAATCCATCTGCTTAATTAAAAAAGAAAAGAGTTTTGTAATGAATAAATGGACGTTCTCCTTTAACTACTCTACTTCTTGTAAGGTCCACAGGTGTGCCAGGAAAAGTTCACGGTGAATAATATCAAAGACGGAGATAATGGATTTACTGGGTCTTCATGCAAAAGAAGTTAATTAATTTCTGTTTTATAAGAAGACCCAACTCAGTCAGGTGAAACAGAATCACAGAAGCTCAGATGTTACTGGATTTATCACCAGTACTATGTTATTTTTTTTTTTTTTTAAACAGGTTTTAATTTGTCATCTTTGAGTTTAGGGGAGTGATTTAAAACTACCCAAAGGAAAAGACAGATACCTGACAACACATGCCTGATGCTACTATTTCTATGTAAACATAGCTTACTAATTTAATCAGGCGTTGTCAAGTTTTATATTCATTTAGAGTTAAAAATAATAGTTCCAAGATTTTTGAAAATTTTAACCAGTACAAATAAGGGGTTTTTTTTTGGATGATAGTTACTATTGCTTCCAAACCAATGCAACTGCAAAAAGTCCATTTGCAGGCAGGGGCAGCAGGATTAAATGTCATGAAAGAATTCTATTATTACTAAAGTTGTTGCCTCCACATTTCCTAAAAGTACAGCCAATACTAACAAAATAAAATGACAAGCCAAACAAACACCAACTGGTTTCAAGGCACTATTGGAAAAATACTACTTTTGATTAAAACTCTCCCTTAAGAGTGCAATATTGCAGTTTTGGTAATCAATCAAATTTCAGTGCAGTATTTCTTTCAAATTTAGAGAATACTTGCCTATACAAAGTAACCCCTACAATTCGCCATCAAAATCTACTCTTTTTTCAGATTAAAGTAAAACTTTAAGAAATTTGTGTATTGTTAACTCAATAGTGTGCTTAACCCTGTGTCTTCTCTGTCCATGCCCCCGTGCTTTTCATTCTGAGTACCAGAAAGCTTAAAAAAAGAGTGAAGAAAGTCTGGAATTTACTACAGATTAGTATGCTAAAATATGTTAAGTGCTTAACCTTAGCTGCACTCCAATGTAGCCTCCACTGGTAGTGACAGGCAACATATCTGCATACAGCACAAAGCAACGAAGAGTTGAGAACAACCAGTAGCCACAACAAAGAAGCGATTGCATAAAAGAAGGAGAAGAAACGAGGATATGATTTCTAACAAAAAATGCCAAATATATAAAGCAAAACAAGGGCTACTAAATCAAACTGAATATCAGACCTGAAAGAAATATCTTTTAATAAGGTAAATATTGCAATTCTAAAATATACACATGCAACAAGGACAACTCATTTAGCAGTATTATCTGGATGTCAGTGTTTGTTACACGATATATCTAAAAAACAGGGATGTAGTATTAAGAGAAACAAATAATAAGATAATTTTTCAGTGTCACAGCTTATTACTGAATGATTCTGAATATGGATTCTGGTAAAGAATGGCTGGATGCAGATTCTTCAAATTATTGTAATTCAAAGGGTCACTGAAAGGAAATTTGCAGAAGAATGAGCAAATGCTTGGGTTTTCAGATACTTGACTTAAAATTCAGAAAAGAATTCGCATGTAAACTTTGTATTCTTACTAATTTTAAGTTTCAAAATCTACACAATACACTCACTGCAATGTTTCACTCATTAGATCCCTTTTAACATAAGAAATCCAGAAAACATGCAAAATTCATTTTAAAATACAAGGGTTTTAGAAGGGCCACAGAATACATTTTGGGCCAAGCCATGAAAACATGTATACTCTCTATAATAATAAATCTACCTAAATGTCATGTGTTAATAACGTAATATCATTTACGTTTTCGCCTCTTAGTCTCCATCTTGTCATATAGATGAATTCCATAGTATGATCCTTCCCCATGATTTCTCCATTGCATAGTACATCCAGCTTAAAACACAACAAAACAAACAGTAAGACAAACATATACAAAATTTCATGACTAAATGAACTTTTAAGTGACTCTCTGAGAATTAACCCCAGAACTCCTATCATGACACAATAATCCAATCAGATGTATGTATCAAAAAATACAACATACTGACAAAATACTATTTTCTACAGCAGTCTTCCACTTTGTTTGTTCACTTTTATGTTTTCAGTAGGGTGGGGACCGCAGAAAATCCACTAGATTAGGTAGGAAACCACCCTACACTGTACCTATTTAAGAGAAAAAT